TAAACATTTAATGTAAAAATAAATTAAGATATATTAAAACTCTATTACTCTTGTTTTGGATTGTTGGACTCCATTACGAAGGGTATTTATTAAAAAGGTGAAAGGACACAGCAGTGTGTGGGCATTGTTGGTAGAATGATTGAGTTCTACTGTAGATAGCAATCTGCAGGTTTTGACTTTCTGTCCAAAGTTCATGGGCTTCAGGCCCAGCTTGCTGACCTCTCCTATAAAACTTATTTAGCAGGTTTGCAAGGTTTGTAAATTCAGCAGAAACGTGCTGGCATGGTCTGTAGGGATTGGGACATTATGTACATACCACAAGCAGAGGGCAGGAGGCTTTAGAGGGGGAGAGGTATCTGGGTGACCGTAGGCTTCAGCTTCATGGATGGGCGTCCACACTGTAGAGGGTCAGCATTCCCAGATCCAATCTCTTCGAACACTTCCTGGCCTTACGGGAGACTGGGTACTTACAGTGTGGGAAAACAGGAGGACTGACAGGCCCCAGAGCATCCGGAAGCTCTCGGTAAACAGGAGATAGTGATAATGGGGGTGTCAATTATTAGAGTGTGTTTGAGTCATAGAGAGATTTATAATGTGTCGCTTGCCTGATGCCAAGGATACAGTCTTCCCTGATCAAGCTTCTAGCTACAGCCAGGATGTTATGCTCCATGTTGGAACAAATGATAAGATAAGATCGCTTTATTGGCCATATACAATATCTTGCATAAGGAAATTGTGTTTTTCTCATACCCCAGCTTGCTCTCCATGAGACACACAGACAGGGAGAGAGAAGCTTGGGGTCAGAGCGCAGGGTCAGCCATTTATACGGCGCCCCTGGAGCAGCTGGGGTTAAGGGCCTTGCTCAGGGGCCCAACGAAGTAAGATTCCTCTGCCGGCCGCGGCAGATAGTGATAGTGGCAAGGGTAGATTGGTGATTCTTCAAGACTAATTTAAGGAGTTACAGTAACTTGAAATGTACTTAGGAGAAAAAACATCTATGGTGGTCTCCTTGCAGATTCTACCTGTAGCATGTGCAAAACCAGGAAACCCTTAGAGGTATAGAAAAAATGCTTTAACAGGGCGCTATGTCAGTATTTGGTTGGAGTGGAGGCTAGGGAGTGATGCTGTATTTATTGTAAGTATATTCTCGGCAGTGATTGAATCCAGGCAGGGGCCGAGCAAAAGTGCACCCATTTTAAAGGTCATGACTGGAACACGGCTGTGCGAGGATGACCGAGTGTAAAGGAGCAGCTGTTCAGGGGAGCTGCCTGTGTCAATTTGTGTAGCGGGTGTGTGGCTCAAAGACCATTTAGACGCAAAATAAGCTTATGCTTTCACACAAGACTGATGATATGAATCTGCGGTTAAATTCAGCCAGTATTCCCTCTATTAAAAAAGGAATTTAGGTCTCATTGGGTAGTCATGCAGTCAGGCTTATTTCATTTTTACAGTTAGACTAGTGTAAAAGTTTGGAATTTCCCATAACGTTGCATGAAGAGGCATGTTTCCTCAGCTGCAGATACGCACCACAATCCTTAGGAGTTTTCCGCAACAAAGAGTAAGATGGGCGAAGTTCGTAGCGGGGCAGTCGTGGAGCAAACAATCCAGGAGAGGATCCAGGAACTTGGTTGGGAGACAAAGTGAGGGGTTGGTACACAGCAAGCTAGACAAGGCACGAAAACGAAGCAAGAGCAGCGCAAATGGGACTCTCGGGGAAAAACCCAATGAGCGCTGAGCACGGGTCCACTCGGAACTTAAATCCCACAGAGACAAGCTAGGCAGTTGCCTGAGAACTGGAACCAGAGGGTACTGACAGCCAGCCATACCGCGTACAGACCCCCCCAGTGGGTTTATCAGACTGCATGGAGACAGGGGGTGTGAGCCGACATTCACACAAATATTCCAATGAGGAATCCTCTCCTTCAGTCAATAAAATCTGGAAGTGTTGCATTATCCTGAGTATCTTATCATACACCCCATGTTGCCATTTAGCACTGTCCAAATAGGGAGCTGCATCAGCATGCGTAGGCTGCAAAGGAACTAGGTAAAAGTTAAAAGAGACACAATGATTTGGCCGTGTAGCCTTCGGCAGGTGTGTACTGTCACTGTCATTTAGCACTGTCTTAATATCTTTTTATGCATTTTTCTTGTTTTAATTATTTGTTCTTTAGATATTCATGTTTTAAGATTGCATAAATCATGCACTGTTTTCCCTTGCCTCACCTAAGAACTCAGAGCTCACTGATGGCCACACTAGACCAATCAATCAGTCTTAATTCTGGTTCTGGTAAGAGGTTATGAAACTTAAGAACTAGAGACGTCGAGAAGTGTTGAAACCGTTGCTTTCCTCCTTTATGGAAATGAGCAGAACAATTCTCTGGAAGCAGGAAATTGTTAAATAATTCCATCGGTTGCTATTTCATTTTTATACTTAAAAGTAACAGCAATGCCAGAAAGCCTCTGCACTTCATCACACACTTGGAAAGGTTTGTTACCGAGAAGCAGCTTTTAAAGGCCAAGGGGTGGAATTCCAGACCTGCCTACTGGCAGAAACACATGGCTTCCTCTGAGCGTTCATACTGCTTTACAGCAACGTGCCGTCCCCCACCCCCTGAATTCCACGTGGGAAAGTTCAGAGAGGGCTTTCAAATGTACCTCTCCAGCACAAAAAAGCTCAGTTTGCAGGACTGTTGCAGTAACTTTTGCTTTTTAATTAAAGGCCCGGTGCCCGGTTGAAAGAATTAGTTATTGTGATTTGATCAATACTAGGTTTTGTTCCCGCAAGGATAAAACATTTTGCGGCAATGCAGATAACTTGTTAGCTTGCGTTTTCGTCATTTTTAAGTGGATGGCATCCAGTTTTAAAATGTCTTGCTTTTTTAAATGTGCTTTTTGTTAAGAATAAAATGACGCAGAGTTCATTTAATTGTAAACATTAATAATCAACATATTTCTTTTTTAATTTTTAATCTACTGAGTTGAAAAACTCATGAATCTGAAAGGAACAGGTTTCTTATCATTCTACTCAGTCTGTGCTTATCTGGACCAGGGTTTATTTTCCATTGTGGTCTGACATCTAAAAGCAAATCTGGCTTTTTATTTGTACTTTTTTTGTTTTTGTTCTCTGGTAAAACACAATATAAGAGACAATTTAGTTTGCAAGGTGTCAAAAGTCATCAAACTGAATGTTAAACTGCCTCCTGAGAACAAGAAGCACTTTTATGCACAGTTTTATGGGTGTCTGGAAGGAGCTACCCAACCATGATTTTAAAGTCAGTGCTGTGGCTTCATTTTAGGAAATGAGATCTTGGATCAGTCGGCTTCTAACAACAAGTGGGCCAAATGGCCTCCTCACATATGTAACCTTTCTTATGTGATTGTGTTTTTCATTTAGGGAATTGCCCTGGCCATATGACACAGATGAACAGTGTAATTCATGTAAACTGGATAGCAGACCTCGGTTTATGTGATCATATTTCTTGTATGTGTCCAAACCAGAACAATGTGACATTTGAAAATGTTGAAATGTTGCATATTTTGTTTTAGTTTAGAACAATAATCTTCTAAACTCAGATGCCTAAGTGGTTAGAGAAATTATAGTTGGAAGAACAGTTCATACAAAGTGATGGTCAGCACCCCGCACTTACAAACGATAATAAACAATAATTTTAAAAAATGTAAAGGAGTAGTTAGAATGCCCATAATAGCCAAAAATATAGGCAGTGTTTAAAACTATTGTAGCCATTCAGCTTACAGTGAAACAAAAGACATTGATTTTTGAGCACAAAGAAATAGGTAAATTTACTATACCATTGCAATGCTATATAATGGGTTAATGATCGTGTATTCATGCTAAAAAATAGCCTGTACTCTAGCCCATGCTTCTTAGATCCAGGATATTGCATATATATTGCATATCCTGGATATACACTTGCACTTGGCCAGACTCCCTGTCACTGGTATCCTTCTATAACTCTGCACCGCACAATGTGTTCCTCCTCTTCAGGTTTCTTATATTACACCAGTACCCCAGTCCCTCAGCCACTCGGCTCCTGCCCATCTTTAGTCTCTTATGGCTCCCTCTGCTTCCTCTTGCCCTTCCTGCTCAGACTGTAACCCCCCACACACACCCCTCTCTCCAGACCACAACCAGAGCCCATTCATGCTACACCCTCCCTGCTCAGAACAGAATTGCTCAGTGCCTGACCACCTTTCAGCACCTCCTCAAGACACATCTACAGTATTTAGACAGCGCCTGTGTACACTCAGCTCTCAACAACATGCTTTACTAACTCTTACATTGTATTGCACTGAATGTGTGTCATAGCATAATTGATTTTTTGTACTTATTGCCTTGAAACAACTACCAGGTGCCTTCATGACTGCTTTGAAGCTATACTATCCGTATATGCTCGCCATTGTAAAGGTTTTTGCTACTAAATGTATTTCTCCTTTTGGTTCTATACAAGTTTCTATACAATAATTATTGTACTATCCTTTATTGTTTTCGCTCTTACTTGTAAATCATATCTGTTGTTTCCTTTTGTACCTGTAGTTAATGTAAATAGTATTGTTTGGATAGTGTGTTTGCTACACAAATAAATAACAAAATGATTTAAAACACTAAAACACTAGGGGCGGAGCGGTGGCACTGTGGCTAAGGATCTGTGCCTGTGGCCTGAAGGTTGCCAGTTCAAATCCTGTGGCCGACAGAGGAATCCTACTTCGTTGAGCCCCTGAGCAAGGCCCTTAACCCCAACTGTTCTAGGGGCGCTGTTCAATGTCAGGCAGACCCTGCGCTCTGACCCCAAGCTTCTCTCCCTGTCTGTGTGTCTCATGGAGAGCAACTGGGGTATGCGAAAAGACAAATTCCTAATGCAAGAAATTGTATATGGCTAATAAAGTGATCTTATCTCTCTACTGTTTCCATTACAAACACACAGTAATGGGATTCTTGTCGACTCATTTTCACTTAAAGTCTTTTGTCTGTCGTTCTGCAGGTGGTGTATTTTGGAGACAGCATGCGCTCTGATATTTTCCCAGCCAGTTGCTATGGAAAATGGGAAACAGTTATGATTTTGGAAGAGATGGAAGGTGAAGGAGTCCAGAAAAGTGACACAAACTGTAAGGACGCAGAAGCTGAGCCTTTGGAAAAGAAGGGAAAGTATGAAGTAAGTCTTTTCTAGCAGCTGTTTTCTTTCAGCAGCTCTTCCGCCTGAACGCTTATACAAACCCAGAGCTTTCTGAGTGAGTGCGGCAAAGCACCTATTGTAGTAGTTTACATGTTAGTTTACAGGTCGTCACCTGTACTTCCATGATCTTTTATATTGCAGCCAAATGGAAATACTAGGTGTAGGTTCAAAAGCTAACACTAAGGGAAGAAACAAATGAAAAAACTTTTTTTTTTCCAAAAGCGAGATGTTATTGTCTATGTTAAGCCGCAGCCAGGCGGAAGATAGCCTGCGGCGCTTTGAGTCATGAAAGGATCCATATACATGAAACAAGCTGGTTTATTGGAAAGAGGCAATAATGTAGCTGAAAGGAAAGGTCTGATGAAAACACCCGAAGCCGCCAAGGCGAGGGCTGACGGAGGACCCAGGACAGACCCAGAAGAATGGACAGCAGCAGCTGGAGCAATGCAGGCGGGTGACAGCGCAGACATGCAGGACTGGACTAGATAACCAGGGAACAGGAAGCAGGACCAGGCTGGAAAACAGGAACAGGACTGCGCAGACCGCCAGGGAAGCAGGACTGGACTGCAGACAGAAGCGGGACTGCTCAGGATCGCCCGGAGGCAAGACCCAAATGAAACACAGAACTCACAGGATAGGACAGAGCGTGGCTAAGAGCAGCTCAATAACTGAGGCCCGAGCAGTGGTGCTCATCAAGGTTACTGAGTGGCAGGTTCCTGGGAAGCACTGGGCATTAAGGATTAAGCTCCGATTGCAAATGTGACCAGTCTCCGATAAGACTAGGGGAGGAGAGCTCCAGCCCGCCCCGGGTGTAAATCTATTGTATATATCTTGGACAGATGTGGGAAGGAATCGTTAAGGTTGTGGATTCCAATCCCAGCTGAGACACTGCAGTTATGCCCTTGAACAAGGTACTTTAATCGGAACTATTCCAGTAAAACACCCAGCTGTATAAACTGGTGCAAATTTAATAAATTAAATCTGATGGGTAGGTATAATTTGAGGCATGTGAATTCTAGCACATGCGTTCCTTATTCTCTGGCACAGCTCTGGTGAAAGTGTAATATATCAGAGGCAAATGTGAACAGACAAATATTTAGTAACAATGAACAATAACACAACTACACAAAATAAAACAGTGCATCTCAGAAGCCTATGTTCTTCAGACCCAGAAACAAGAAAGGTAATCCTGTAACTTAAAATCCTTCGCATTACCTTGACAGGCCAGCAAGAGAAATACCCTGCGTCCAAAATAAAATAATATGACCCAGTGCTAAATCTGTGTTCCTACAGTACATCATGGTGACCAAAAGTTGAATATTCATTCTATATCAAGATAAACCAGAGCTAGTCACCAGAAAACCCCCTTTGATCATCTGTGTCCCAGCCCACTAACTGCCAGGTAAACCCTTAAATGTTTTTTTTTTTAATTTTATGACCTCTTAACACGAAACAACCACAGCAATTAGATCAATTATTGTATCGTAGATGTCCTGAATTCCTAGACACTTGTATGATTTGCAGCCCTCACAAGAAACAATTTTGCATGAAAAATCATGACAAGGAAGATACTAGTCCACAGGATGTGTTGCCTGATTCTGAGATGAGTCAGCTGTTCTACAGAAAGGAGTAGCTGCTAGCAGAAGAAGTCAAAGAATCACTCAGTGAGCCGTTTTTCAGGATCTGTCCATCCTGTAGTGACTGACATATCCTTCCTGCAGTTTGAAATGTGGGCCAGCCCTGTGGAGAGGGGGAGGGTGTGCTGTGAAACAAAGAATAAAAACCAAGAACACAGACTCATGCCAGAGTAATGTGTTATAGAAATGTATTCCTCAGCAACGTCCCCGGAGGTTTTCCGAATAAAGGCTACTCTCTGTATTCCCTGTTAATCTGAATTCCGTTGGAAATATTAATTCCAGATGCACATCACAAAGACATTTTTAACCTTAATTTCGTGTCACTTTTATGTCAGACCTATACCTTTAACATCCCCCTTAAAATACATACTGTAGAATAATGGAATTTGCACAGTACAATCAGAATTCAATTCTGAATTGTCTGTTCTTAATTTATGTGGAAATGCAAAAATAAAAGTGTACAAAAAAGTCATTTCTGTGGAAAAAGAAAAACTACATAAATATATAATGTTAGTGTTGTCAAATTGAAAAATACCGATAGCACACAAATACAGAGTTACATTTGTCCATGCAGAATCGGTAATTATTGACTAGTTGTTTAACTCATTTGGTCCCCCTGAAAACCCCACTGAAAGACTTACAAGTGTCTTGTTTATTCCTTTTATGAAAGGAGATAATTGTCCCAAATCCAAATACTGAAATGAAAGTACATGTAAAAAAAAGGACGGAACTACTGTATCTTATTCGCAGTCTCTCAGATGTATTTTTCATGTTTCTTTTTTCTGGGTCAGTTAACATTTACAGTACCCTCCAGAAGTATCAGGGCCACAAAGTCAAAACTGTTATTTTTTCTTTACAGTCAAACAATTTGTGTTTGCAATCATGAGATTAACATGAATGACAATTGCAATATAAGATTTGTGTGTAATTCCATGTTTATATTTGATTATTTTGGAGCAAAAACATATTTTGTTTGAACCCAGTGATTTGAAGTGAGTAGTATGTACTGGGGCACACTCACCTCACCAAGTTAGCATTTGGTTGCTTATCCCATTGAGGCAATAAGTGCGTGAAGTCTGCAACCCAACAAGCTCTCCAAACTGTGTGAACATTTAGGGAGCTTCACCAAGCCTCTCCTGTAGCCACTTTGAATTATTCCATATTCTTGGGTTGGTCCGTCTTCATAATTTAAAAGGGTCTACTACTGAATAGCGACTATTACTTTCTGTATGCAGTTATTGTTAGAAATGCACCATTTCATATTTGCAGTTATCTTTCAACATGAAAAGCAAAAAATTTGAAAATATTCAAAGATCCTAATCAGAACACTGTCACTGTAGCATTTCAGGCACAGCTGTACACTACGGTATATCTCCAGGGCACCCAAAGTCAACCTCTTCTCAGGAGTCCTTCACATTTCTGTGCATCTTGTCTCTACCTCGTCTGAGTAGGTCTCCCATTGCGTGTGTTTGTATTCCCTGCTGAGACTAACAGTGCCATATTGTCATGTCAATATTTATGGATGATATCTATCATCTTTGCTGTGAGATGTTTTGCTGTCTCTCTTTTGAGCTTGACAAAACCCAGGAGCTTTGTTTGCACAGATGAGGCTCCACTGTGAGGCTTGCGACTCACGTCGGGGAGCAATTTTACCTGGCTGCAATTTTATGCAGTTACTTAGTCCCCTACAAAGGCTTTCTGAGGGTCAATTTGTAGTACACTCCATTGACCTATATTACACTATCCAAAAAGTCTCTCTTGTGCTCTGTGTAGGTATGACCTTGCAAAGGAACAAAGAAAAGGTTACAGCACTTGAAACCGTTTGGCAGACATTTATGTTTACTGGTAGCTTTGTGTTGTTTTATGGATGCCCCCATTGGGAATTGATAATACAGTGTAGCATATTGAACACTAAACAAATGTCCCTTTCAAAATCGGTTGAAAATAAAGAAAACATTTTTGAAGCTATTTATTAATATAACATTTCTGTTTGTGTAAAACTGGAGTTTTTTCAATTCATCTCAAACCTTCTCAGACAAAACATGCCATTGTAATTATGGTAACAAGAAATGAAGAAATAAAGGGCAAATTTAAATTGGAACTTCACCCCACCGGTGAATTGCAAGCAACACTGTTATGTGGGGGGAGCAGAAGAAATAAGTTTTTTTTTTACTAAAAACAAACCACTTTTAAGTACAGGTTTGTCATTTATGATAAGTAATTGGGTTAAGGTTTTGATTTAACCTGCCCTGTGGTTCATTAGAGGAACTCAACTAATCTGCAAAGGAAAAATTCATGAACAAGCAATCATTTCTGGGATATTCTTTTTTTGGGAAGTACTTTATACAATGACTGTCCCTGAAAATTGGGGATTTGAATTTCAATCACTGGAAATGAACAACTTCTCAATTTGTTCTTCTGCTTTTTTGTATAATGTCCTGGTAAAATGAACAAATAATAACAGTGTCTAGAGATGGTCTTCATACCCTTTTCCGGAGTAACACATTTTGTGGCATAACTGTTTGAAATCAGGATACATTAAATCAAAATTTATTTGACCTTTATTAAAACATTATAATACACACAAAATCCACATAAAAAACAACTGGAAACGTCACTACAAATGAAAACCTAGAAACCACAAATGTGTTACTTTGGAAAGCATGTACAGACTTTCTATAGGTATGGTACAGTATGTGTAAGTTTAGAAGTAAACAGCAATTTTTAAGTAAACAGTTTACAAATCTTGTAAACAGATGTCACATTGTTTGTGCCACTCTAGCTGCAAAAGAGGGGTTTTCCTGCACTATATTGCTTTAAGTTGAATCTCTGATTTATATCTGTGTATATAACAATGTGATTTATAAAATTCACTTTTATTTTTCCATCTTTTCTTAACAGATAACCTAAACAGTATCTACTGTATTCTATCAAAACACTAGTTACAAAAGCACAAGAATCTCTCACATTTTGTCTGAAAAGCATTAGGTCATGTACTGTATCCTAAATGTCATGAGCTCTTTTAATTGCTCAGGCACATTAAGGATTATTCTAATCTTCTAACTGTCTGTCCTGCATGATTTTCAGATGTGTTCTCTTTAAAGGTTGTATGAACTTTGTGATCAGTACATTAGCTGATTTTACCTTCTGGCTATCGAATAGGACTGTAAGAGACCTACTGTGGGTTTTTTTTCTGTAAGTAAAACTCAAATTCTCATCTACCCGGGTAATTTTATTCTATGTTAAGGCTTCTAAATTTCTTCTTGTTTTTCTCAGAACAAAAACTACTGTGGGGACATTAATGTAAATAACCAATCAAGCTCAGAAATAATAACTGTTTATTCATGAGTGGGATAATGAGTGGTTAATAGTTTGTTGTGACCCTCTTCAAGCTGGTGACCCACTATGAATCCCACTGCGCATGCGTGGGCTATCCTTGTAAAAGCATCTAAAAAAACATTCCTGTATACAATACAGTATTTACTGCAGTCCTGCATACCAGGACTGCTCTTCCACAAATTAAAAAAATGTGAAGCCACCTTGCACAAGGCATGGTATATTTCTATATTGTGTTCAATATAGACATAAAAAGGTTTGTGTGTTATTTGTTCAATCGGATTCTGTTTTTCCATTATTATGACAGAGATAAAGATCAAAGCTTATTTTAGAAGCAGTTACTGCAGGAATACAGATAAATCCAAAGGACAAGTTGAAATGATCTGTAAAGGTTTGTCAGTTTCACCATTTGTCACGCTTGAAACGGACTAAAGAATCAAAAGGATACAAGGTCCTAACCAAAAGGACAAATGAGAACAAAATGTATATCAAAAGTATTTAAGGGTTCATCTTCAGTTGAGGGTTTGAAGTAGAGGCTTAATTAGAAAATCATCACTACAAGCCTACAGGTTGTACAAAATGTGCTGTACATGTCTTTAACATTCTGTGTGAGCCGTCAAACAGGTAACCCCAACAGCTGTTTAATTTAATTTTAGGCAGAATTTATTAATGTCTAGAATGTCTTTCAGAGCCCCGGAATGAAGAAACCTTCCTGTGCATCGGAGCAATGGGGCTCGTATTTTGTCGATGTGGATACAGGCCTGGGAGAAGATGAGGAGTCTCAGAAGGTCACATGGTGTTGCAACAGTATAAACACCTACAGCACCATGGCCATTCCCAGTGTGGAGGCTATAGCAGGTACAGAGTGAGACTTTGTATGCTGCCCCGTGTGACAGGCAGTGGTTTCCTCACATAGTGAGGGAGGGTTGTCATGGGTGAGTGCGTCACGTGGCTGCCCTGATTACAGCACATCTGGAATTGTCTAATTCAGCCCCTGTGGGAGCCGCTCGGTGTTTGTGCTACTATGGCTGACTGTTCAATAAAGTTCAGAGCGAAGATGTTTTTAGGGTAACGTGAGATCTGTGGGATAACGAACAAGTTAACTGCTTGCTTAAAGATTTTTCCTTAAGCTGAGCAGTGGTGGGTTTTCGTTCACAACCTCACTATAGCTTCATGAGAAGTTCTTTTTAACATTTTTGGAACAGAGTAAAACCCACTTGTGACAAAGTAAACTCTGTTGGTCTGGATTTACACTGATATGCTGATTACAGATCTAAACTGTGTATTATGGCCAGTACTGTATGTGGCAAAGCTCATAGACAGTTTTACTTGATAAACGGAAATTTGACCTTTTGAAGAGAACCAGAATTCTAGATACAGATGTTTCCCGTTTTACCCAAGCTAAATGTGAAATTTTACTTTTGGATACATGTGTTGTCCACAACACAAGAATACATGAAAACATTTAGACTTTCTGGTACTACTTTTAAAAAACATATTTAGATAAACTGACTTTCTAAACTCACTTAACCTTGATAGAATGGGCCCTGGACGTCTATATTGGAAATATTCTGTTTTGGACAGGCTGTGGGTTAATACTCTGGGTGTGGAACTGTTGCTTGTAACCTTGAGAAAGGTTCTCTTGTTCTTTTGTTTTAGCAAAATGTCTAACAAGTTAAATGTATAAACATATACGTTTTTTTTAAAAGGTTGTCAAATAATGTATCACGTAAAGTCCTGGGAATTTTCTTGATGTGGTAGAAAATAAGAGAATCTTGAAAAGTATTGGTCCAGTTGACATACAGTACAGTGGGCTTGTATTTTTGTTCTATAAGTAGAAACAGTGCAAAGTAATTGTTCTCTGAAAATGACTACTGTAACTAACACTTTTAATCACTGTATTTTATGTGTTTTTATACTTGGACTTTTATGACTTCAACATACTGTATACTCCCTGGGTTTAAGCTGCTTTTACAACAGGTTACAACTGCTTTATAGAACCACTGTAAAGCAGACCTGAAAATAACATCCCAACTAGTTTATCTGAACAAAATGAAAACATTAATATACTTGTCTTCAAAGTTTGGTGTGTGGAAGATGACTGTAATAAGTGCAGCTCCCAAAGCGCAGAAGGTAAAAATACACAAATATTCAACTAAAGCTAGTTCAAATTAATTGATTACAATTAATTCTAGTTAGTCCAAAACATAAATATTGCAAAACATTATTGCAAAATATGAAATTGAATTATGTGGAAGAGTTAAAAAAACAACTTACTGGACACAAAACCGGTCTGACGCATCAGCAGGCTTTTCACCAACATGTGGAAATCAGGCCCTTGGTACTCAGAAAATGCACTGTGCAGACTTTTTAGTTCCACATTAGCTTGTGTACAGTACCGTATATTTTTTTGTGTCTCCATTTCAGGTCATTTACATGTAAGTAGTGTGAAGATGCAAGAGCAACAGATTTACTCGAATTTAATCTGTACTTTTTTTTATTTCCCCAAAGATCTTCCTCTGGATTACAAATTCCCAAGGTTTTCTCCTGATAAACCAAGAACCGTTGGCTACTACCCCAGACCACCAGACTCTCTTCTGAAGAAATCTGAGAACATCCCCAGGGAGTAACACAACACCTTTAGCTAAGAAAGGAATGCTGTTTTTTTTTTCTTGCCTGTAGTCCTTTACTTCTACGTTTCAAGGAGCACAATAGACATGTACCAGTTACTGTTAACCACACTGAATGTAAAGCCCTTTGGGTGAATGTTATAAGGTTTATTTTTAAGTATTGTTATCTGGGTTTACATTTGAAAATGCAACCTGCTGATGTACATGCAAACGTATCTATTGTACAGTGTACTTGTTTGTGTATCAGGGGATTCAGCTGCTGTAGACTGTATGATCATTAATGTAAAATCCACAAACTATTGTACAGTTTGCAGGCATTTTTGTTGTATTGTACCTCAAGGTCACAAGTGGGATTACTCATTGAGGAAAGCACCCAATATTCTTGACTTTATCATATAATAAGCCAAACTCATTTATAACCAGAATACATTTGCTCTTTGTGCTTTAATTAAAAAGTCTGTTTTACCATTACATTCTGTGCACTCCCAGGAGGGTCTAATCTGCCTCAGATTATATTTCATCTGCAGTTGAGAAAATGTACTGTATTAGCACTCTCCATTAAATGTATACTTTTTTTACATTATAAGAATAAAGCCAGCTATAAGTAATTATGAGTAAAACGTCCAGTAATCCCTAAATGTTCCTTCTTTTTGCTTTATAGAGATGGACAGTGTTCTAACTGAGACAAGACACATAGGTGTTTTTTAATCAAGAAATTGAGTTAAAGACTTTTGCTTAGTATTTTGTTTTTTGCCATTAAGGGCTTTATGTTTAGTGTTCCTCCCTTAGTAATTTAGTTTTGTAAAAAAAAACACCTGTAGTTTGTTCTCTGACACAGAAATAAACTTTTTTTTTCCTAGATGTAACAACACTGTTAAAGTGATGAATTGAAGGCTGTTCTAAGATATAAGCACCTGTGTTGTAATTAAGTCTTCAAGTGCTGACATCATAGGCAAAAATGTCAGCATTTATACCACACAAAGTATTTGGACAATTTGTGTTTACCACAGCTTCCTTGTAATTTTTTTTTTATTTCCTAGAACACATCAAGTTTTTGTTTTTAAAATCTTTTTTTTAATGCTGCTCAGTAAATATTATAGAAAATATCAGAGAGTATTCTGTGGGTAGCTTGAAAACTATAACTTCACATTTTGCTACAAGCTCAGCATGGTGTTTTTAGATCTACGTCTAAAAGGGATTTTACATTAGTCATTTTACTTGTAAAAGAAAAATGTCACATTACTTCCATTATTGTTCCAGTATTGTCTGTTGTTTTTGGAAAGTATGATATGTAAATGTTAAGCAAGAAGCATCTTAAGAACAGCTGATGGTTTTTAAAAATGTGGGATACCTGTGCAAAACATGCAGTACTTAAGTTTGTGAAAATGCTTTAACCGACAAATGAATGAATTCTATTTGATTGTTGCTTTCCATATTGCTTTTAGTTTAATACTCACTTGCAAAAAGTCTCAACAGTCAACCAGAATGTTAGTGTTTCTTTCTAAGGAATGCATCATCCTAACAAGCCACAGTTATGGGATTCCTGTTTTGTTTGTATTTTCAATGAAAAACAAGCTTTCAATTGTTTTATAGGTTGTATGTCTTCTAGAAAATACAGGGAAATTGTTGAGTTCACCATCTGTGAAATAAAAATATTGTACAAGTTTATAAAACAAAACGTTTTGTGCTTTAAAGTGTTTTGAAGTTAATTTGACATCTTAAGTGCTTCATCTGTTGTTCCTTAGCAACATTTATTAAATAAAAACTTTCACAGAGATCTTTGAAATCAGTTTACTAGTTTTACATTTTTCTGAGCAGTATCTCCAGATTTGGGGATTTTATATGTGTCAGGGTGGTAATTTAGTCTCCTAAAAGTTAAGCCCTCAGGTGTCTGGTCATTTAGCCATTAAAGATTCTACAAAATACCAATCAAATAATATAATAAAACTCTTAGCATATGGCTTATCCATCATTGAAGAAGTGGAAAATCTCATGTTCCATAAGGTTCTTAAAATTGATTGATACTCATTCTATTTTGTACAAGTAGGGGGGATATTCTTTCCAGCAGCTGACTTTTTTTTACATGCTTATAAAGATGTAAGATTGTCACCAGAACCTAACCCGGTCGACAGGATGCTGTCGGGGCTGTAATCTGCATTGGGGGCTGTCCATCTGAGGGCCCTCACTCTCACACATGCAGAAGGAAGGCCAGTTCACCAGTCTTTGGACTCTAAATAAATCAGAGCAACCCAGAAAACCCCAGACAGATCCGTAGGAGAATATGTCAGCTCCACGCACAGGGGATCTCATTGCAGAATCAAACCAAGGTCCCAAGAGCTTTGAAACAGCCATGCTGAGAACCTTGTCACCATGTCATGTTGCCCATGAAGACTGGTGCTGTCCCTTCAGCTGTCCCTGAAATGCAGAGTTTATCCCCTTTAACTGGAGCTCATGAAGAGTGTTTCAACAGATTAAGGAGGAGATTGTTGTAATTTATGAGGAAACAGACCATTGGGGTGTACTATCAATGGTTGTGTTTTAGGTGTGTTAACATTTGTTGCCATTCTGCTTTGTTGTGTCAATCTGGGTTTGACTTTCCTGACTAGAGGTACCAATAATCTTTTTCTCCACAGCTTTTATGCAAATATGGATTTATCCTGAAAACATTAACTTGGTGCAATGACGCTAAGTGCCATGTCAGGTATTGTAAAGGCAAGTCTAAACTTTGAGGCGTTTTTTTAAGATGCACCGTTTTGTCATTTTCAAAGCTGTTTAATGTATGTGTGGCAATGAAAATGCATATTTTTGCGGTTAATATAATCCATAGTATGCTAATTTAAGAAAATTAATAGATGATTTTAGAAAATACCCTCTTGCATGTAAATAGCAAGAATGTATTTCACGTATGAATTGTTTAAATTGTCTCTAGTACAGAAAAAAATAACTTTTGACATATGGATGTTACAGTGTAATCACATTTCACAGTTCTGAAAACAATTCTAATTCCTGTGATTGAGCTAAATTACTATAAACATACAGTACTATGCTGTTAACATACTGTAACTAGTGTGCAATTTCATCATGAATGAAACGAGAGTAATTTATGTTCACTTAAATGTTGTGCATAATTCTGTAAGCAATCGAATTCTTTGTTCGGCGACACAGACGTAGGAGGTTTGTAACTAATTACTAAGGTGCTGGCAAACAAAGTTAAAGCGAAAGTAAGTCATTATTCTAAGAAGTTTTAAAAATATATATATCCTCCGCTTTCCTTTCTTCTTCAACTCCTCCCTAAATCCTGTCTTGATGACGTTGTCTCCGACATAGCAGACTTCTACACTCCAAGCGCAACTGGCTGAAAGCATTTAAAACCTAAAATACCATGTATTGTACAACAAGGCAAAAATAAAATAAAAATCGACCGATTTTCTGCGCTCCAATAATGATTTATGGGAAGAGCGTCTGTTGCCCGCTGACTTAGCAGGACTTGGCAAAGGTAAACGGCTTTTTATTTAACACGGTTATCTGACTGATCTTCATTAGTAGAAAAAAAATAAAAAGTGAGCATACGTCTTAAAATGCTTGCGGACAAGGGAGAGTATATGTGATTAAGTTATAAGATGTTCTAATTACAACAGGATATTTTTATTAATATATATGCCTTTATCCCGTACTCGTGGCAAAATGCCCTTACCAACTTCTAGCCGCAGTATAGTCCCACATAACTATTATAACTTTTTTTTGAGTCTTTAGATCTCCGATCGTATCAATACAGTGTTAAGAGGGGGCTTATTTTACTTTAAGTCCAGATCTGTTTTTGCGTAAAGAATATGTTTTTTATAACCTGAAAGCGGCCGTTGTTACATGAGCTGACATTTGTTTTAAGTTAGAAGGTTTAGACATAACGTGCTCCATAAAAAAATCAGAACCCAGACAGAAACCCAGGCAAAGCTAATTCTGTAAATGAGTTTGAATACCCGAAGTTCATTAGTTTGCCAGATGTAGCAGTCCATTAGCTACCTGAGGTACGCTAAGATGATTTGTCCCTGCATTTGGCTTAACGGGCTTTACTGGAGCTAGGGCGTTTGGATTCAGAGTCCTCGCAGGCTGCAGTCCAGCGTTAAGAAAGAGCATGTGAAAAATATGTTGATAGCTGGTGTGCTCAAACTTGGAACCAGAAGATCCAGCTGATTTGTCTTCTCACTCTCCTCCGAAAATATTGTTTAAACACGTAATGTAAGCAGGCAGTCTAACGATGTGTGACGCGGATTTGAACTATTTAGAAAAGTTTAAAACTGAATTAATATAATTTTACTGACACGAATAACGGAGTGCAAACTAGCCTAGACCGGCAATAGAGTTATTGGCGATGGCTATTGTTAGTATTAAATCAAGGATTCAAAGAAATTCTTAAAACCCGGGAAATGCCCTCTAATACTTGCAAGTTTTAGCAAAGTTCAACGCTCAGCATTTTTCATTAATATCATAAAATCTCACTCTAGTAGGAATTTCCGGTCTCTAAACAGTCTTATTGAAAAAAAATAGAAGTTCATATAGACATATTTTAGTTGATACACTGCAGTATTCGATACACTATGCATCTCCTGCATTAATTTCTAAACGCATAAACATTTGATGAATTTTAACTTGTCAATGGGAATCTTATCAAGATACGGGTCATATCCCTGTCTCTTGTCCTGTCTAGTAGTGTAATAATTCATCCTTATCCAACCAATAAATCTGGAGTCCTGAAAAAGTGTAGTTAGGGCATATAATGGATATTTAGAAATTATTCTGTTAAGGAAGTATCTGCGTATTATAGTGAGACTGTGATAGAGTGTCAAGCAGTGTATGAGTAATTTCCATTGTAGAGCCTTTAGTAAAATACTGTAAAAAGTGTTCATACTTAAATTATTGTTAGAAAAGAAAGGTGACAAAGATGGTGCCACAATCTATTGCTTACATGTTTTTCAAATAACTGGTTTTAAATATTCAGAATTAAAAGTGCTGTTTTGTTATAAATGTATCCATCACTGTGATGGATAGAGTTAGTGATTCAATCATTATGTAGAGCAACCAAATCAATTTTCACATTAAATATGGGCACAAAGGAAAGGATTCAAACATTTTGTCACAAATTACTTGAATTGCGTTTTAAAAATGTAAATCTTTTCAATCCATGGTAGCTGCAGTATTTAAGAAGATGCATCACGTAACCATAAATTCCTAAAAAAAAGTGCTCTATCTGACCTCAAATTTGTGATACTACATTTATCCAGTGATGATCCTTATCTGGCATTGGGTATGTTCCAAGCATTTCCAGTCACAGAAACACGATCTGGAAACTGGAACAACACAGATTACAGTCACACACCTCTCCTGTCATTTGGATTACAGCAATCAGAACTAGAGCACTCTCGTTACAGATTGTGTAAACATAGTATCCATTCCTCCAGTGGTACAGATAACACTTATGTCTGCTGCTCCATTGGCGAGATAACATCACCCTCGCTTATGAATCCGGATTCAGCTATACAGCACATTGATGGACAGCAGAAAGTTGATTTGATGGTGTATAGGCTTCTGTTTACAGGCTGTGAAAAGGGACAGTTCTACATATAGTAGAACTATATGTACAGTGCCTTGCGAAAGTATTCGGCCCCCTTGAACTTTTCAACCTTTTGCCACATTTCAGGCTTCAAACATAAAGATATAAATTTTTTATTTTATGTGAAGAATCACCAACAAGTGGGACACAATTGTGAAGTGGAACGAAATCTATTGGATTTTTGAAACTTTTTTAACTAATAAAAAAATGAAAAGTGGGGCGTGCAAAATTATTCGGCCCCTTTACTTTCAGTGCAGCAAACTCACTCCAGAAGTTCAGCGAGGATCTCTGAATGATCCAATGTTGTCCTAAATGACTGATGGTGATAAATAGAATCCACCTGTGTGTAATCAAGTCTCTGTATAAATGCACCTGCTCTGTGATAGTCTCAAGGTTCTGTTGAAAGCGCAGAGAGCATCATGAAGACCAAGGAACACACCAGGCAGGTCCGTAATACTGTTGTGGAGAAGTTTAAAGCCGGATTTGGATACAAAAAGATTTCCCAAGCTTCAAACATCCCAAGGAGCACTGTGCAAGCGATCATCTTGAAATGGAAGGAGTATCAGACCACTGCAAATCTACCAAGACCTGGCCGTCCCTCTAAACTTTCAGCTCAGACAAGGAGAAGACTGATCAGAGATGCAGCCAAGAGGCCCATGATCACTCTGGATGAACTGCAGAGAACTACAGCTGAGGTGGGAGAGTCTGTCCATAGGACAACAATCAGTCTTACACTGCACAAATCTGGCCTTTATGGAAGAGTGGCAAGAAGAAAGCCATTTCTCAAAGATATCCATAAAAAGTCTCGTCTAAAGTTTGCCACAAGCCACCTGGGAGACACCCCAAACATGTGGAAGAAGGTGCTCTGGTCAGATGAAACCAAAATCGAACTTTTTGGCCACAATGCAAAACGATATGTTTGGCGTAAAAGCAACACAGCTCATCACCCTCAACACACCATCCCCACTGTCAAACATGGTGGTGGCAGCATCATGGTTTGGGCCTGCTTTTCTTCAGCAGGGACAGGGAAGATGGTTAAAATTGAGGGGAAGATGGATGCAGCCAAATACAGGACCATTCTGGATGAAAACCTGTTGGAGTCTGCAAAAGACCTGAAACTGGGACGGAGATTTATCTTCCAACAAGACAATGATCCCAAACATACAGCAAAATCTACAAAGGAATGGTTCACAAATAAACGTATCCAGGTGTTTGAATGGCCAAGTCAAAGTCCAGACCTGAATCCAATCGAGAATCTGTGGAAAGAGCTGAAAACTGCTGTTCACAAACGCTCTCCATCCAACCTCACTGAGCTCGAGCTGTTTTGCAAGGAAGAATGGGCAAGAATTTCAGTCTCTCGATGTGCAAAACTGATAGAGACATACCCCAAGCGACTTGCAGCTGTAATCGCAGCAAAAGGTGGCTCTACAAAGTATTAACGCAAGGGGGCCGAATAATTTTGCACGCCCCACTTTTCATTTTTTTATTAGTTAAAAAAGTTTCAAAAATCCAATAGATTTTGTTCCACTTCACAATTGTGTCCCACTTGTTGGTGATTCTTCACATAAAATAAAAAATTTATATCTTTATGTTTGAAGCCTGAAATGTGGCAAAAGGTTGAAAAGTTCAAGGGGGCCGAATACTTTCGCAAGGCACTGTATATGGGGGTATATAGTAGACTATGTGAGAGGCGATATAACTACTCATCAGACACAGCCAGGAAGCACAAATCGCTGGTTTTGCAGCCATATCACCCTGCAACTCACTGCAACTGGCAGCCCACTGAGGCTCAGCAAGTGTGAGCCTGGTCAGTACCTGGATGGAGACCTGAGAAAAACTGTGGTTGCTGCTGGAAGAGGTGTTAGTGGGGCCAGTAGGGGGCGCTCACCATGTGGTCTGTGTGGCTCCTAATGCCTCAGTATAGTGACGGGGACACTGTACTGTAAAAAGATGCCATCGTTCTGATGAGACGTAAAACCGAGGTCCTGACTCTCTGTGGTCATTATTAATCCCAGGACGTTTTCTCGAAAAGAGTAGGGCTGTTACCCAGGCATCCTGGCCAAATTTCCCATTGGCCTTTACCAGTCATTGGCTCCTAATAATCCCCATCTATGAATTGGCTTAATCACTCTGCTCTCCTCCCCACTGAGAGCTGGTGTGTGGGGAGAGTACTGGTGCACTATGGCTGCTGTCACATCATCCAGGTGGGGCTGCACACTGGTGCTGGTGGAGGGGATCCTCATTACCTGTAAAGCGCTTTAAGTGGAGTGTCCAGAAAAGTGCTATACAAGTATAAGCAATTATTATTATTAATTAATTATAGATCTGTGCAGGAACATTCCAAGTGTCCTAAAACAATTAGATAGCAGTTATGAGGTGTAGATGCCCTAAAGCCATTGATGCCAGTGGTGGCCAAACAAGGTCATCCATTGTTGAGCTAGTTTTTGATTACGTGTTGGGTTTATTATTTTGGGTTTTGTGTTTATTTAACAGTCATACAGTGTAGATTTCCATGGAATTTACTAAATTATGTGACAAAGTTTGAATGCTTACATTCTTCAACTACAGAATTACAGTACATCTACAGAAGTCCTAATAAGCAGAAAATGCAGAACTAGGAAATTGTGCTCTCAGCTGAATTGATTCGTTTTTTCTAATTAAAGCTCCTACTGTATTTGATTCAACATGTATGGTAATTGAGATTTTCTTACTCATTGTGGACTCTGCACTCTGCAAAAACCTTGTGAAAACAAATCACACCAACAACCAACACGTTTTAAGAGACATACAGTATAGTATAAACATGGGTTCTAAAGTACTCAGGCATTAAGAAGTGTGCCTACGTAATTACTGGCAGGGTGTTTTTTGAAACATTTAAAAAATCAATGCAAGGTACAGTATATCCTGTAAACAGACTTTTATCCAATGTGTGGTATAGATTACTTTAGTCTAGAAAAACCCCAAGCAGCACATTTTACTTGCAGTTTTCTAAATGCCGAAGGAATGCTAAATTCTTAGACATACAGCTGAATCCAATTATTGTGAGCATGCAGAGACTTCAAACTTCAAACCCATGGCCCTGCTTATTATTTTTTTTCTTATTCCATCCCATTTGTTTTAGATTCTTCAGAAATGGTCTGGTCCCACCTCTGATGTCAGAATGAGGACCTATACGCGTGGGGCCCCCACAGTGTTTTTCATAACCCTGTTCTGCTTTTCCCTGGCCCTGTCGCTGGAAGAAGACCCCAGTGGTGGAATCCCTTTTCTTGGTGGGAATTACGATGGCCACCCCATGCTGTATTTCTCCAGGGAGGAGGTGGGAGCCCTGCAACGTCAGGGTCGGGGCACGCACTTGCACATCGCCGCCAAGATCCAAGAGGCGGGCCGGACCATGCTCGCCCACCCCGAAGAGTACCTCCCGCCCTGGAGCCCGGCGGACTTCAGTGCCCGCTGGAACGAAATCTATGGGAATAACCTGGGAGTGCTGTCCATGTTCTGCGTGCTGTTCCCCGAAACCGAGAGGGCCCTGGACCTGGCGAGGGAGTACATGGAAAGGATGGCAGCGCAGCCTAGTTGGTATATTTTTGTCTTTGTTTTCTCCTCGCGCGCGGCTCTCCCTGCCCCTGCTGTGATTCCCTCAGCCCCAGTCCCCAGACAGAGGGGAAAAAGGCCCTCACGCCACAGGACCAGGTGCCAGGCTTCAGCTGAGTTTGACACCGTCTAGATGTCGGAGGGGGTGATTAATGTAACAGGACTCACTGTGCCAAGCCATTTACTGTACATTTACAAGAATGTGCCAGCAGCCCACAGCCTGGCTAAGGGCAGAGCTTTGTGTTGGGATTAGACACACTATGTAGGTATTCTAGATTTGGATGGTAAGGACTACAAATTTGTTTAATCATTACAACAGTGCTGTAATGCATTTTACACAGTGCTATTTTTTGTGCTCGCCCCATATTGATATTCCTGTAGCCGGTAATGATTAAAGTACTGATTATTACATTTTTTTTACAAGTACAACTCGAATGAAAAAGACCTGAAGGAGGCCAGTGAGCCCACTTTTACACATACATACAAGTGCTAATTGATCCTAAAACTCTTTCATCTGGGTTAAATGTAACAAATATGAGGGACAATGAAATAAGGTTTATAAGATAAAGGTTATTTAAACAGGTCTCTGGAGGTATGCACATTTGTTTTCTCTAATGACATGACCATGGTTTGTTAGTAAAATGATTCCCCAAAATGCAATGGTTTAAAGTAAAATATTACACACAATACCTTTAGTGCCTATATACAAATATTTTCTACTGAAGCTAAACTTGTTGTCAGCAAACATTAATTCAGGCCTGAAAGTCTTCTAGGAAATTAATCTTCTAACATTAAGGGGAATGTTGAGAAAGAATAAAAATCTGATAAGTGGTTTAACACTTGAGTGCTATTTATGCTTAAGTGAGAAAAAAACAGCATTGCCTAAGCTTACTGCTTAGATAAGGTTAGATGTCTGAGATAGTTCAACACACTGCATATTTTTACAGGAAATCTGTGGTTTGTGAATTTTACCCACAATAACTCTAGCTCATCCATTTGTGTATGCTAAGCAGTTTTAGGGGAAGTTTTTGCTTATTTTTGCATGTTTATTACAAATTGCAGCTGTGATTAGGAGTCATTGAATGTAACACCTCTTACGTTTTGAGTTATTGAATATTTTCTTTTTTAGAGATCATGTTTTGTCCTTGTTTTATATTAAATAAAAATGCTATTTAATAACTATACATTACATATTATCCTTCCATCAACCTTTTTGACCAAGTTTTAACTATACAGACTTCCTGGGCTTTATTGTCCTTCACTTGTAACTTAAATTTAATTTAATCTTCTAGAAACTCCTTTCTCCTTTTCCTGGGCGGAGTGGTGGCTCTGTAGCTAAGGATCTGTGCCTGTGGCTGGAAGGTTGCCGGTTCATATCCCGCGGCCGGCAGAGGAATCCTACTCTGTTGGGCCCCTGAGCAAGGCCCTTAACCCCAGCTGCTCCAGGGGTGCTGTATAAATGGCTGACCCTGCACTCTGACCCCCAGCTTCTCTCCCTGTCTGGGTGTCTCATGGAGAGCAGGCTGGGGTAGGTGAAAAGACTAAAATTCCCAAAACAAGAAATTGTATATGGCCAATAAAGTGATCTGATCTGAAGTTTGTTGAAAAATGACTTCTGACACCTGAAAAAGGCTCCATGGCAGAAACGTTTTGTTTTCTTTCTTCTTTTTTTCAGCATGGAATAAACCTATTACTTGTTCCTTTGCAGTCTACGCATGCTGACAGGGCTATCCACCCGAAGAACTAAGTGTGTTCACATGCCTTTGGAATTGTAGATATTACAGAGATACCCCTTGTCTTACCAGAATTCAGTTTATTTCTCATATGCTCAAATGTCTGTTTGCATGCATGATTTAATACAAAGACACATTTACCACAGTAAATTCATCTCTTCTACCTTGATCAACGCTTACAATAATAAATTAATGTCCAATTAATATTGCAAAAATGCTGATACTACTAAATAAGTATAGTTAAATTAATCAGTCAATTACATTATTTAAAATAAACCTAACAAAGAGCTTTTCAGAGAACCATGAATATGAGCTTTTGCATTCTAGTTTATTCTTTCCCTAGTCCTGGCTGAACTGAGTCACCTTATTATCTAAGACTGTGGAGAAAATTAACGTCAATATTTGCAGTGATGAATGCTATAAGAATTTATGTGTTTATGTTAGAAACTGTGTTTAGCAGCTCCTAGAGAATGCTGCTTAACATGTTTCCAGTCAGGGGAAATCAAACATTTACTGTAAGTGTGAAGTTAATAATGTGGTGCAAATGTTCAGTGGTTTGTGCTCTGTAAAGCTTCAGTGCTTCTCAAAAACCGTACTAGTAAAACCGTTTTCATTGGATATTCAGCCATGTGATTATTATTATGTCTTTATTTCATTCACTTACTGTATATACATGCCAGTGTTAGATGAGTTTGAGTTGGTTAGGGTGTCATTAGCTGCACGATAAGATCCCCTGCGGCTTGCTAGGAGCCTGCGAGATTGAGCAGTGTGTTATTAATTAGAGAAAGTGACATCCGTTTAGTGCAAGTTTCATCAGCCCTGCTATCATTGCATCTGCTGTAGCTATGACATTATTACACAGCCTCCATTAGATATGATTGACAACATAAATTTGTGGTGGTCATAATCATGTTCGTAGTTTTACGCCTCTGGCTCAGTAAAGATGCAGCTACAGTATATTGTGAGAAAAATGAAGTGATTTCAAGAAAAAGCTTGTTTATGAGAAGGCAAGCTATTATTATTGAGGCTGAAACCAAAGATCTAGCATTCCAGTAAGAGTTTTTCTTAGCAATGAAGATTTAGTGTATACCTTTTTGTATACCTTACTTATATATTTTTTGTATACCTTTATGTTTTATAAACTGCGTATAAAGAAGATTCTGTTTTAATCTGTAAAAGCAAAAAAGTCTCTCAAGACAGTTTACTGACTTGTAACTTAACAAAAATCACTTCTCTCTTTTCCTGTAATGTTGTGACGAGAATGGGATACATATTTACAGTACGTGTTTCTGTTATCCTGCCTAGAGAAACATTGAATAGAACACCTTAAAATAATGAATGGAAGTGATTAAAATGCCAGGAGAGTAGAAAAATACAGTATCTCTCCATAAGGCTTTGTGGTCTGTTTAGTCATGTGCATAAAGCTAACTTGCTGTTCCAAGTGTGCAAGAAATGTTAATAGAGCACATCAATAGGTGCCATTCACAAGCATCAATACTGCACTTCATTTTCCTTGTCCAACCAGGACTCCAGTTAATTAAAGAAAATATTCACAGACCGAGAATGTAGTGTTATATCTCAAAATAGCTCCATGCTGTGACGTAGTAGAGATGTTTTACTTTTCTGTGAGTTTTGCAGTTTTCTGATTAAAAAGCATGAAAGAGTTTAACATTAAGATGAGGCCATTGCAGTGCAATCTGGAATCTGGGCATTGGTTTGCTGAGCTCTTCTAACTCTTTCTTTAAAGTTTCTTAAGACCAGAGTTTTTTAAAATAAATTCCATCTGTCTTTATCCATGCAAAATGAAGGAGCCAGCAGAAACAGCTTTTCAAGCTGCCGTGCTCATCTCATTGGATTGATCATTTTGGTTTGGTATGCTAATTAAAATTCAAGCATGACTGCTTGTTTTAAGGACAGCTTGGCTATGTTTAAATGCATGTGTAGGGGTTTTGGCAAGCGGTAATTGGAGATGGCATAAATATCTCAGGAGACCAGGATAAAGTGCAGAAATGCACTTCGTTTGATGGTGTCTTCACATACAGATTTTCTTGGAATGAATAAATGGAAATAACCAAAACAAGGGAAGATGAGCTTTTCAGAAACTGCCCTGCAGTGGGTAGTTAATATTTAGGTTTGGTCTGTATGATGGAAAACTGAGTTTCTTCATTGCAGTGCAAATGATTTGCATAAAACTAACTAAAACGCACTGGAATGCTTCATATCTTAATTCTGAAATCTGCCACAGTTAACAGACAAAGTAACCACTAAACATGGATTTTCACAAATGAACAGCTCGTGATATATGTTCTCTCTTTACTAACACTTTTATTATGGTTTTAAAATTTCACAGAAAACCTTGAAAGTGGCTCTGAAAACACCGCTGACTGAGGTCTCTGTGACCCTTAATTATAGAGCCACTAGCTTGTGGAAAAGAACTATATCCCCACTATGATCCAAAAGCACATGGCTTATGTTTGTACTTAGATCACTGCACATGTTTTTAACCTTATTTTGCTAGAATACTTTTTATTGATATTGTATAGTTTGCCTTCTTAAACCACCTAATCCCTCTCCTGCTTACTCTTTTTTTCGAAAGTAAAAAAAATAATTCTATCTGATAACCCTTATATAATCTCATTCAATAAATCTACTGTATATGGAGAACTGTTAAGGACAGTGGTAACATCCAGAAAATGGGATAAAACAGAAAAAAACTGCTTAATAGATGCCTCTCTAGATTAGCAACACTTGTGTTGCTTAAAGTGTATTTTGTGTTTCTGTAGATATATGCCTATTACATTTTTGAGTGGGTAGTTGGAAAGATTCATAAATAAGAATTCACCTTTCCCCTCTCTCTTACAGTTTAAATGTATTAAAATGAAATAATGCATATTTACTGGCACTGACCATCTTCAATTTGGAAATGCGAAGAATGATGTTAAATGCCAGCAACTGTTTACAAAAAAGACATTTTTGCATTGTCTACTAAAAAACAGATATATGTTATGAAAATGTTAATTGTTCATTATCTGACCCTCTTCTTCAGAAACATTTATAAGGTCTTCTGAGTACTCCTGCACTGACTGATCTCAAACAATCATGCCAAATCTTCTGCAGTACTGCTCCTAGAATGGTGCAGTGGCCATCTGAAAGTCTAAATACACCCTGTGTATTGATCACTGTGGTTGCTTGTTCAAACAATGTACAGTAGGGTGTTCTCCTAGTTTAATTGCTATAATAGTTTCAATTATCTTGCATGTAATAGACGTCAGCCATACTGGGCTATAATTACTTCAGTTTTCTCATTGTTTTTTGGATGGACATTACATTATCAAGTCTACAGTCCCTTGTTACTAAAAATGTCACTCACACAATGGGTCATAAAATATTCATCGAACAACAACATGTTTAGCAAACATTTTTTGCTCACATTTTGTCCAAATAGCTCCAAAGTAATTGGTGTAATTACAAACAAGAGGAGTGTTTATGAAAATTGGTTTCCAGTGTCAACCGAGGTGGATGTCTGATATTTTTACACAGAATTCAAACTACCTTTAACCCTGAAACAGCTGTACTAATTAGCTTAAAATCTGGCAGGTTTCATCAGCACTCAAACCTGCTTCAGGTTTCTACCTTAATGTCAAATATGATGCAGCCAGACTGTTATGATTGCAGCAGATCATGATGTGCTAGGTGACACTTGGAAAGTGTCATTCTAGTGAGAAGGACAGTACAATAGAATAAGACAGGGCATCTCTATACCCCCAACTGCTCCTAAAAACTGTTTGACCAATTAATTTCAAACTTGGTAAGCATTATTCTAGTGACAATACAATTAGCCCCTTGTAGAGAAGCGTTTTTGTTTTCGAGTGTGAATTTAAGTATCCGTATACTTGACTAGTTTACTAACTATTCCAAGTCTAGATCATTAATATAAATTAAGAGCATAGTGATCATACTACAGATCCCTGTGGTACTCCACTAATTACATCACACTAATTTGAGTATGCCCCCTTTATCTGAACCCTTTGCTGTCTAGTTCATAACCATTTCTCAATCCAATCAAACACTTACACACTTTCGAATGCCAACCACCTGCAATTCAGGAATTAATTTTTTATGGGAAACTTTATAAAAAGCTGTCTGAGAACCTAAATACGTGTAGAGCATATGATATGGTGTATTGATTACTGAGGTTGCTTGTTCAAACAACATAGGCGATCCTCTAGTTTAGTTTAGTTTAGTTGTTACAGTAGTTCTAGTTATCTTGCATGTAATAGAAGTCCTCCTGTTTTCTTGTTGTTTTTTGGATGGGCACTACATTAGCAATTCTGTAGTTCTTAGTTACTAAGTACTGTACCTGTGTTTAGAGACTGTTGCAAGAGTTGTGTCAGTGATTTCTAAATAAACTCTCTCATTTCCATGCGTACAATTGGTAAGGTACCATTGGAGATTTATTCATCTTATTGCTTCAATTATCTGAAACACTTCCACTTTTTCTGTGCTAATACAATTAAATCCAGAGCTTTGTCCTTCCACTGCCTGAAGCATATTTTTGACTTGACCTGAGTAAAATACACATTTAGTAAATCGACCATTTTCCTTTAATTATTTATAAATGTTTATCCCATTGTCACTGTATTTGTGCCAGATATGTTGTACTACATCCTTGATGGTTTTTGCTGTTTTATCAATGCGATAACTTTAATATTTATTAAGCCTCCTTTCTCTTAGCCATATTAATATCTTTTTGCCTGTGCTTGCAATACTTTGTTTTCGAAACCTTTCTAATACATCTTTTTTAACTGCCCTGTTGCTCACTTGTTCCTTATTTGTCCAAATGAATACTTTGTAAACACGTATATATGTTTGGACAAATTTTGTAATTGTCCTATAATACAGAATAAATATTATTTCTATAAAAGTTAAAATGATTATTTCAGGAAACAGGTTCTTGTAATAGTCTTTATAAGATTTTGAAAAATGGCAGGCTGGGTTTGAGTTGTGATTTTAGTTGATGGGTGGATAAAACAGGTGTTCCATACAAAATACGGTATTTCTAAGGACAATCCTCTTTTGAATGCCTTTCTCTCGTGTATTTTTTTCTTATGAGCAGTTTGTCACAAATGTGCCATTGTCTCTGTTTGTACATAGTCTTTTGTAACGTAACCTCTGACAGATACTGAAATGCCAGATTCAGTATCTGTCCAGGAATTGGTGCTAATTGGAGGAAGGACTGTGTGTTGAAAATGGTTTTGATACTGGATATCAGTTTCACTCTGACACAGTCTCTTTATGTTTATTCCTGAAAAGAATCACATAAGCAATACACTATCTTTGCTGTGTTCATAATTTGCACATTTTCATTTCAGAGGTTTAAATACAGACTTACTATTAAACAATTCCAAACCAAGCTACAGTATATACACTTTTGTCATCTAAACATCACATATGAGCATTGTTAGTGTTTTTTAATGTTCCTTCTTGCAGTTTGTATCTTGTAACTATGGCCTGGGAAAGCCAAGGAGATTAGTTCTAATTGCAAAATATTTGATATATCTAAATTATGTTTCCCAAAGATTTTTTTTAATTACATAAAAATCCAAACATTGATATGCAAAGGTACCACTTATTTTTTCCATTACACCAAGGGGAAGACTGATTTTATCGTTTCCCTTATACTGTACATTGGCAATGGCTTTGAACACATAGATCACATTGCTGTACACTTTGTTGTTAGAGTAATGTGTGAAACAGATGTTTTCCTGAATTGTATTGGGATTTTTTTGTGCCTTGGTCAAGAGAAGCATTGCAATATAGAATTTCTGCTTGTGCACTGCCCCCTTTAATACTGAATTCTTAATTATGCATTATGAATTATGTACTATTTACATAAAATTATGCATATTCTATTAGAAATCATAATAAAGGTTTTTTAGTCTTTTAGCCAGAAAGTATCATAAGCCAGCTAATAATTATTAACAAATCCTGCTTTGATGCTTGAGAAATATGGTTGCATGAGGCACTAAGCAGTGCTCAGCAGCAAATTAAAAGGTTTTATATTACTTGTCAGCATGTAATTATCTGTTACTCAGCAACAAACTAAATTTGAACAATATAATAGATTGCAGAGAAAACTAAATTTTATTTCCTATAATGTATAGATTTTGAACATGAAACAGTGCAATTTCCTATGACAGTGTTATTTGGTCATGAATATTAATGAAAACACAAGGAATAAGGGGAGGCCATAGGGCCTGTGTTTCTCATGTAGTATTTTAGTATCTTTGGAGTTTAGGAGCCCAAAGGTTGGGCTTCATTCACCTGCCTAAGAAGTTGATCCAGATATACTGTATAAAGAAACATTTTCTATTTTCTCTATGAATGAATTCTCTTTGAGTTTCCAGTTGTGATTCCACGTCTTAGCTTCATTACTGAGTACGAAATAGTCACTTCACTTGTCCCTGTCTGTTAGAATTGTACAGTATATACCTGGATCTCCTGTCTATCTCCTTTTAGACTGAAGGGATTTAGGGTCCTTCAGCCTGCCTGATGAATTATATAAGCTGGAATGTCCTCTATGATGAAAATCGTAATGATGAAATGCATGCTGGGAAACGAACTCTCTTCATAAACATCGTGGTAAACAGTTACGTGATCTTCTTTTTTTTTTTTTTTTTTTTTTAGGTTGGTAAAAGACGCCCCCTGGGATGAGGTACCTCTTGCTCATTCTCTCGTTGGCTTTGCTACTGCTTACGACTTCCTGTACGGCGACCTGAGCAGGTCGCAGCAGGAGCGCTTCCTGCAGGTGATCGCCAACACCTCTAGGTACATGTACGAAAAGTCCTATAACCGGGGCTGGGGGTTCCAGTACCTTCACAATCACCAGCCAACTAACTGTGTGGCCCTCCTGACTGGAAGCCTCGTTCTCATGAACCAGGGTGAGTGTTCTGGTGGGCTGTGTTCTGTCGAATTGCTGACTCTGAAGTGTGTTTTCCTTTTCAAAGAAGATATCAAAGAACGCTATCACGCTATCACTGATGCTAGCTTTTGACAAATATGGTGTGGGCAAATCGCTGGTCGTCTCGGATGACGATGTCGCAGAAAGATGTTGACGGGGATATCAGTTCTGACCATTACTGCAGATTTCATTTGTGATACTTCTGCTAGACATAGATATTGTTTTTATTTTTCAGTTATAGACTATATTGGTGTGTTTTTTAATTAACTGTGTTCATCTTTTGTTGAAAGGGTGAAATTAAGAAACCACATATTAAATATATATAGTACGTCATGTTGTTGTACTGTCCAAATTTATATAAAAATTGGATTCCTGCAACAGCACAAATTGTGGCAAAATGTGGCTCATGACACAGTTCGGTTTTAAGGAAAAACTCTAAAGTTATAGCAGCTGTTTGGATTTTAAAGCCATTCCACGGATTCAGTGAATTCAGTGTGGATTGATTTCCGATTACCATTGAATGAATTGCCATTGAATACCATTGATTGGGCGGTGGCTAAATTCCATTCAAGTTTTATAATAATAATAATAAACTTTATTTTATATAGCACCTTTAAAGGTGGCTTCTCAAAGCGCTTTACAGGATGACAACAACAATAAATAAGAAGAATACACAAGATAAAACACAGTTACAATATATAGAGGAGACCGTGGATGGTGGTACTAAGAAAAGCAGAGGGGTGAAGAATGGAACCAGTTATGTAAAGGCTTTTCTGAAGAAGAAGGTTTTGAGGATTTGAAGGAGTTTAGAGAAGGTGACTCTCTGATATCCTTGGGGAGAGAGTTCCAGAGCTTGGGGGAATAACAGGAGAAGGCCCTGTCACCCATACAATGTAGACGGGCTTGGGGGTAAGGAGAGCAGAATTAGAAGAGTTTTAGAATCAGTCTGATTGGTGATGCCATTCCCCAATTCCTTACCTGATCTGCTCTGCAGTGGGACTGCTGGTATAGTATATAATGGCCTGTTGCACATGGTGGGTGAAGTGGGTTCCCTCTGGTATCTAAAGTACTTTGAGATATTCTGGGGTAAAAATCAGTATTCAGTAGAATTATTGCAATGATGAATGATGAAGCAGGGATCCACATTATCTGTGTCTTGTCTGGATGCCATTCAGAGAACCAAAATCTTTCTCAGTAAATCCTGACTGAAAATTGGTAGGATCAAGATAATGTATTTATGTGGCAAGTTAATTTTTGCCCAGGCTGCTCACTATTGTTCTGTGGTGAACTTGAGATTTGCTTATTGCCAGGAGAGTTTTCTTGACATGGTCCTACTGTATCCTACAGGAAGGTTTGCTTTGCTACATTCCCTCACACATAAAGAAGCAAATCTACTGTATTTGTGTTGTATGGGTGTGGAAGTGGTTGTATGGTTTTGTGTGAAGATTGTCAGGTATGTTCAACAGATGTTTTGTTTGCATTAATAAATGCAAAGAGAAATGTTAGGCCAGAATATAATCCATTTTCTGAAGGTCTACTTACACATGTCTATGTTGGCAAACAAATATTTTTGGTATTATCAAAAACTGGAATTGTTACCCTAATCCACTAAATGAAAAGAAACAGTTGTAGAAAATGGAAGTACCAAGTTCCAAATTTCAGCAGTCCTTTTGTTAGACTGTGGTAAAACAGTTTCAGAAGCTAATATAATATAAGTCTGAATAATGAAAAAAAAAAATTCACTCTAGCCTAGCCTGTCAGATGACTATGTTATGAAATTCTCAGTTAAGCAGTTTTCAGTATGTGGTTAACTTTATTTTTCAAAGTGTTGCAAATTCCTTCTTTGAGTAACTTGATAGTCTTGCATCTTTGAACCCCCAATGAGTGTTGAAAATGACTCACTTCACCTTAGACTTCATTCTTTCTTAACCATTTCTTCTTAACATTTGAATGTTTCTTCTGTACACATTTTAAACACATTTGAACATCAAATAGAAGGCATTGACATTGCATTACATAAATTGGCACCACATCTTAATCATTGCTGATCTCTTTTCCAGATCACACTGTATGTGTTGTATCTCTTTTTATGATCAAAAATCAAGTAGAATGTAATTTTACAGACATCTCAGAGGAAGGAATTTAGTAAAATATTATGTAAACCTTTGAAAAATCACTGTAACAGGGGTTGTCACTCAAGCCAGCTACCTGTGTGTTTGGAGTATCACATTGTGCTCTCCAGTGTTCTGCAGTGCTGTTCTTGATCCATGTAGCGTCATTAAGTCTCAGACCTAATGAATGAAGTTCTTTTGTCCTTAAAGCAGGGAATCCTACACGCAATGAGACTGGATGTCTGTCAGTATTTGCAGAATCACATAACCAGTTAAGTTGAATTTAAGATTCAGAGGAAACGCGTCTTCAGCCCATACCACGCAATGTCTTTCAAGGATTATCAGATGTGTGCTTTTCACATCTCTCTAACAGGCGTGAACGCTGTGACCTCTCACAGGAGAGCAGGGGGGTAGTGTGGAGGCGTGCTCCTCCGACCCAGTGGCCTTCAAGCACATTCCCCTGTAGGGAAGATGCAGCACAGCTGGGAGGACCCCTCTTTGCACAGAGGCTTCTTTGCAGTCTAGCAGGAGACCTGAGGGAGGCCGCTGAGGTCAGCGGGTTTGCCCAAGAGCCGACTGTACATGCCTGGGCAATCCCAAGCCTCAGACTCTGCTCAATGGTGCTCTTTTGCCTGTGGAGCCACTCAGGAGGCTGTGGTGAGAAGGATTGGATTAAAAATACTCTTCCTTGTCCAGCTGCCTAGACTGAATAGTTCTCATGCTTGAATGAGGCTTTTCTTCTCTTCGTGATTTAATTGCAGATCTGTATAAACAAAAAGAGCCAAAATTTCTTCCACATTGCAGTGTTTCCCTCGAATAACCTGATCAGACAGCTGTATCCCCAGAGACGTAGAATCTGAGCTAAAAGAAAACAATGCTTAAAATTGCATAACAGCAGGGAAGTTACATTTTTTATGTACTTGAAGAGAGTAAGGCAAGTTCTAAGGAAATGTCTTGTAATGGTAAAAATAGGTTGTAATACTCTTAAATGCAATATACTGTTAATTCATGTGGTTAGTCTGGTTTCTGTTTAAACGTTTCTGTGTCAAAAGTCGTGTTAGTCACAAGGTTCATAAATGAAACTATTGTGCTGAAGTTGAGTAAGCATAAACGCCACATTCCTTCTGTGATTGCTTTGAATCATTCTAAATTTTTCATTTAAAAAATAAGAAATGAAGATCTACAGTTTCTTATAAAGACCTGTAACGTTCAAGAACACTTAAAGCTACATGAACTATGTTGGATCATAGAGCATCAGGAAGGTTATAATCAAGAGGAGAGCAGTAGGTCCATCTAGATCCTTCGGTTGCTGGAACTTTATTGATTACAGATCTCATTCAGATTCTTCTTCTGCTTCATGTTTCACTTTAAGGATTTTAAATACTTGTTACAAGTCCACTTGTAGTCTTCTCTGTTCAAGACTAAATTCAGTTTCTTCAGCCTTTCAGTGTAGGATATTCCCTTAAACCAGGGGTCGGCAGACTAAAGCAAGGGCCACTAAAACCTTGCTGGGCCACTGGAGTGAAATCTGATAAACTAGGTTTATAGGTCGCGTTTCTCCGGGCACATTTCCTCCGCGACCTCTTGCACACACTGCTGAATAAACTCCCCGTCCGCGAGGGGTTTGCCAGCTGCTGCTAGAAGCTGTGATACTCGATAACTACCTCGGGTAGCCCCAACATTTTCTACGAATTTTCTCTTGAACAGTTTTTGGTGCCCCTGAAGCGACTTTTCCAACTGTTCTAATTTTTCCCTCCATCCGTCTCCTGTGTATTACAAAAACTTTGCTTGATGTTTTGTCTCGCAGGGCCATTTTTATTGTATTGTCACGGCGATTGTTTCCTGAAAGATAAGACATTCTACATGACCTTTTCTTTCCAGGGGACACAAAAGTACTCTCCTGACCACTTGTCGTTGAATTTCTGACCCTCCGCATCAATCTTTCTTTTTTTCAACATGGCAGGAATATCTTACAGTTAGCCTCTTGTAAGTTATGACTTTCAGAACCGATTGAAATCATGACCTGCTTTCAAACGAGATAGCAAACACTAGATGTCATTTGCTGAGCCAATCACAGTAGGCAACAAAAATCCGAATGTATCTACGGTAAGAATCAGCTGTAGCACAGGCGTATGTAACCTGAGCTAAAGCTAGTCTGATAGGCTAAAAGTCAAATGCATTGTGCAATCGGTGCTGTTCTGCAATTGACTGTTAGTGCTGAGAGAGAGCAGCAGAGCCACTGAAGATTTTCAATATTTTGAAAGATATTGAATATATAAATCTTCAGAGCCACTGAAGATTTTCAATATCTGATGCAAAAGGTGACCCCCGAGATTCAAACAGTGATGAGCTGCGGGCCAGTCAGAAAAGTTCAGCGGGCCGGACTTGGCCCGCGGGCCGGATTTTGCCGACGCCTACCTTAAACCCTGAAATGTATCTGTTACGACCCCGGGTGTCTAATTGGAAAAGAGGTGTAACATTGAGGTTGGGTTTGGCTGCAGGTGGGTTTCTGGTGAGGGACTTAGGAAGCGTGACAACAAAAGTAAGGTGCAAAAGTGATTTATTTTTTACAAAGTGAATAAGTTTTTCTTTCACCTCTGACGCAGAATACTGGTCTGTTCGTTTCATACCCACTTGTTGACGTCCTCGTACAGGATACTGGTGATCACTGCTTCCCGAAAAAGCCACATCCTGTACCTCCAGTAGATGATTATGTGTCTTGGGATACTGTTTGGAAGGATAATTGAAAGAATCTCGACCATTGTTGATTAACATGAAGTTTATTCACAGAAATCATTTGGCTACTTGGAGATGTTAAATAACGGGTCTCCCTGACAAGACTCCCCCTGTTGTGCCCTGTGCCTTCAGGAACACATGATATGGGGGTAGTTTGGGTACAGATCTCTTCGGCCTTCTCTATATTTTTAATAATAAACTCCATTTCACTCCAGTGTTTCTCTAGTTGGCAACTCCGCTACAGCAAATGTTCATTTGTGCAGTAGATTCGACTGGCTAGAATTACCAAACTAAGAGAAGGGTCATTCCGTTCAGGTGCCCCTCCCTGCCCTTTCATGAGTGGGCCCGCACTGTTCCTGAGGATTAGCAAAAACAAAATCACTTGTAAAGGCTGAAGAAACTAAATTTATGGTACTGAACATCTGCTGAAGGGGAAAGCATGAAATAGGTAACAGAGGTTTTAATTCTGGGCTGAACCTGTTCTAGATGTGTTTGGAAAGGAGAAACCTGATTCTCTTTGACATGGCACAAAGTGTAATAGCACTCTCAGATTTGAGCTTCATTAGATGAATTCATCATTCAGAATTCGATAAGATATTACGATCTACTGTACATTGGTAGATTTAGCAGCGGTAAGCAGAATTTCATTCTGGTTCCAGATGTTTTTAGTGAAAAAAATATATTTTCCCCAAAACTGTGTTTATAATTTAGCACGGGAGAATAAACTTTCAGATCAAACACTTCTTTATTAGAAGAGGAAGGTGTGTACAGCAAAGTGCACCTTTAAAAATAACTGCAGTCATTGAGATGAGCAACCACTTGCAATGATCCTGGATAAAACATTGATTTACTACAACATCATTACTGGTGGGAATCACCTTTTACTAACTAGTGTTAAGCACCATTTAAATTTGAACGTTTTTAAATCTGTAATGACCCATAAACATTAAATGGTTTCATAGCCAAAGAATAGCTTTTTTTCATGTAAAGTGTAAAAGTAAACCCTTAAAAGGCCTTGAGAGAAACCACTTCAACAAGCCTGTTAAAAAAATGCTTACTTTTTTACATGCTTACTTTTTTTAGCACAACCGCTGCTCAAGAAATAATACTGAGTCACAATTCACTACTTAAGACTAAAATACTGGCCTGCAGCCCTGGGAGTAATTGAATTCCAGCAATTCCTCTACAACATGCCCCTGCACGTCTCTACAAGACAACTGTACAGTTAAGAAAATGCTGTAGATAATAGATTGTTTACTTCTATGAATACTGCATAAAGTTTAACAATTAGTGCAGAAGAGCCGTCAAGGTTTAGTGTTGATCATTCCAGCTGCTAAGAGCTTTAAGCCCACAGCATGACCATAACAAATCGGGATATATCTCATTATAGTGTTTGAGAATAATTTGGGCCTGTTACTCTTGGGTGCAAACTGATTGTAGGTCTTTTGTGACTCATTATCTTCAAAGGACTAAAAAAAAGGCTTATTACTGGGCAGTGTGGATTAGGGGCCCGCAGTTGGTTTTGATCTCCAGCTGTGGTTGGTGCAGGTCAATCCAGGACACTGGATCCCATATGTTCTGCTGGGTTGCATTAGCGAAGCTTTAAGCCCTCATTTATAGGCTGTACTATTAAATCAGAAAACCTTTCAGACATAAAGATTGGAATGTATTGAAACTGGGGGCAGGGGGAGGAAAGAAACTCGGGCTGAGTTTGTAATGAATTGTCATTACAGACTTGTTACAGTTTTGTGCTAAATGTAAACCTAAACCTCAGGCTTTGGTTAGGTGTTTTCCAGATTCCACTATAGAACGGCTTTGTCCACACCTTCCACTACGATGACTAGCACTTTATACTGGTGATAAAAGCAGTAATCCCCTCCTTGCTGGAACAGCCAGATTACATTTAATTACTTTTCGCACTTTGTTTCATTGTCGCCTATAATAAGCATCATTATATTGTGGAAGAATAGTGCTGGTGGGTGTTGATTTGCAGAAGAGTGCCAAGAAGGGAAAGGAAATTCTGGGTTATAAATCCTGTAGGCCATCCCCGAGGCGATGAGAGGGCTGCTGCGTAGAGCACGTGTTCTTCAATCATTTGGTTACATGTTTGTACACCTCCTCCCTTAAATGGAACCCAAGGTCAGTGTCCTCCTGGATTGGATGTGCCCTTTAATATCTTGAATTATCTTGGAAAATATGTACAGTGCAGGCCTGGTTGGGGTTTTGAATTCAAGGGAACCCCTTGGACATCCTGTCTCAGATTCTTTATTTGTCTGTTTTATAATTATAAAGGTAATATTACTCAGTACACATGTTAGAAAGAAATATCCAGCAACAAACAGAAACTAAAACAACAAGCATTTTATTGTCGTTCTTCACAAGTCAGTTTCCCTAGTTGTGGCACACCTAGGATGTAACTGTCTCTTTCTAGGTCTTCTCTAAAATGTCTGCTATCTTGGATAAAAATTAAGAGTGATTGAACAAGTATATATAAAAAAAAACTCCATGACTTTTTCTGAAGACAGGACCTGGAATGGTTTCCCGGCCTTCCCAAAATATGTCAAATAAATAAAAAATAATGAAAAGAATAAATTATGTACTATTTTTTACTGTTGCGTTTCTCTACTGCCAGTCCTAGAGAGGCTTCTTATAATATTAACGGTTAATGTGTTTTTTCGCACTTTTTTGGTATGTACAGTACAGTTCGTAAGAGAAAGAAGTTAAAAACTTAATTAACCTTATAACCACACTATAGAGAGGAGAGTTTTTAAGTCCCCAAATGGTCAGAATTCGCTGAATGACAGCTTTTTCTATGAGCTTTTTCCATAGCCAGTTTGTTTGAAAACAAACAAGAAAAGAAATGTGTTGTCTTCTTTTTGTTGTCAGCATGTTGTCAGCTTTTTCTGAATGTATTTTCATTGTTGTGTACTTTCCACTGCAAGGCAAAGATACAGTATGTGATCGTATGTATTTCTGCACTCCAGAAGTGTCTATTTGCCTCAAAATCGGCTTCAGAATTGAATTTTTTTGGCAATATACAATATACGGTATATTCAATCTTAAAAATTCCTTTTTGTATCTGTTTCCAAAAAAATTCCATTCTGAAGCCGATTTTGTAATTTTTCCTTTATCTAAAGTTCAAGGTTTTGTTTTTTCTGGTAACAATCTGTGGAATTCATACGTTGCTCTGTCTGTTTATAAAGTCTTGCGGTGAACAGTACCTTATTCATCTGTTGCTTTATCAGAAAATAATTTCACTGCTGTTCCAACAAACTCAATGGTTGCAATTAGAGGATATTGGAGATAATTTGCTTAACATTAAAAGCAAAAATTCACGTGTAGTCAGATATGCCCCAGTGTTGTTGCTCAATTAGTGTTAAAAGTTGATGCAGCCTAATAATATGAGGATGTTTCAAATGTCAGAAATTCCCCACTTAATAAAATTACCCACCATCTGAGTGGTTACTACGTTGAGTCTTAGAATTGTATCTGCTGTTGTAGTTCTGGGCATTAAGTGCGACTAATATAAAAAAAGTGGAACAAGTCAGCACCTGGTAATTCCACTCGGCAAAACAAAAAGAACAAAAACATTTTGGCCGTGGAGCCTCCTTCAGGTGTGGAGAGGAGAGAGGGAGAACAGACAAAATGTGAGAAGGGGCCTGGGGACGAGTGTGGCTCTGCAGCTCTCCGGAGCACTTCAGGGTGAAGGGTAATACACTCTTGGGAGCTTCCCCTGATGTGTTGCCCACACAACACTACACCAATTTAGTAAGAAGACAGTAGATCGCACAAAGTGACCAAGATTATTTTTCCCTGTCGCAGGTTACCTGCAGGAAGCCTACCTGTGGACGAAGCAGGTCCTGGCGATCATGGAAAAGTCCCTGGTTATGCTGCAGGACATCACCGATGGATCCTTGTATGAGGGGGTGGCCTATGGGACGTACACCAGTAGATCTCTTTTTCAGTACATGTTCCTTGTACAGAGGCATTTTGGAATCGGTCACTTTCATCACCCTTGGCTCAAGCAACATTTCGCCTTCCTATACAGAACTATTTTGCCAGGTAAAACCCCTTATTGTTATTATCTCTCTCCTATTTTTATTTTCCTCTGGGATGGTTTGTCAGGTGTTTCTGAGTGGCAAACCTACTACCTGCAGTGATACTGATCTGCATGATTGCTCATTTGTTCCCCTAATCCATCGTCCTTGAGTGCAGTTGTTAGATGTTAATCAGACTTTACTTGATTTTAATTTGTATTCAAATATGCTTGAAATTCCTTTAATAACATTAAGAATTTAGTACTTAAACATGCCTCAAGTCTTTGCTTTCTACAGTTTAGGCATCTCCAGTGACAACAGGCAACACTTAACCTTTCTGATTGTGCAGGAAATGAGATAATACTGGTTATTTTGCACAGTGGTGGTTGTGCAGATTGGGCATCTTAAGTGGATGTCAGAATATGTTCTGCTTTTAAACTTTTAGGTATTGTTTTAATTGAGGGAGAAGCCTGTTAGAGCCTGTTAATTATAACATAATACATGTGCTTTCCTTCGTTTTTCGGTCAGCACAGTGTTTTCCAACAATCCCACTGAATTAAAAACAGAAGTTCCCTGCCTCATTCTAAGTGCTAAATAATGAGCAGGGGTGCGATACACTTTTTATCTGAATATTATTAAAATTATAGTGATAAAGCTATTCAAGTAGGTCATATTCCATTAATTGGACTTAATCCTCCCTACATTTTCAATCACTGGATTTGTCTTGAAGTAAATGTAACTGCTTACTTCTTTAGCATTTAGATGCCAATGCATGGTAATCGCAAATATTGAACTTCAAGCATAGCTAATATGTTCTCAGTTGCTGGTGTTATTGAAAGTAAATGCCGTAATAATTTTGCCTAATTATTGTAATAGTAATTCCCTAAGACTTAGGGGAATTTAATGACATTTAATACACCAAAAAGGTGTAAAATCATATTATAGTTCATCTTATAAAACATATAACATATAATATATGTCATCGGAGATGAAATCTGTTGTATAGATTGAATTGTATACAACAAATAAACCGCAGTTAGCATTGCATAGTTAAAATGTATTTCAGGATACCAGAAGATGCTTTTCCTATGATTGAACATTTTTATATTTTGAAAATTGAGGAAACGTTAGGTACATCTGTCTTGCAGTTATTTGGTTTTAACAGGTTCCAATACAGTGTAAGGCAACGTCTGACAGTTCGAAACATTTTTGAGAAGGAATATGCAGTATGCAGAAAATCCCTTTGCTCTCCAGCCCACTCTGCTGTAGCTGCTGCCCTTTATTGTGTGGCAAGGACTTATAAATAGCAGGAGAACTTTAAGAAACAAAGAAAAAAAAAGCAGCAGTTAGACAGTGTTTTAATGTGAAGGTAAAAAGGAAAGGAAAACACCCCCCCACACACACCCCAAAAAATTGACCAAATGAGTTTACTTTGCGTTTTTGCTAATTATAAGGTGTAATAATAATCTATATGTTTGCAAAATGTACATGCTCATAATATTAAAATACTAAAATAGTTACACTGGACTATTGTTTTTTCTTTATTTGTTAATTAGAAAGCAAACTTAATCCAATTTTCTGTGAACAAATTGTTATGATTTAAAAAACAAAACAAAACAAATAAGAGCACTACCACAGAAACCCTTTCCCCCTCAGGTCCTCCCACAACAAGAGGCATTCCTCTCTGAGTTTGCTATTCCTAGGACCCCTAAAATAAAAGCAGATCACTGTCGCAGAAATGCTGTGTAATAAGAACTGGAGTACATCAGCAACCACGTGTCCCAGCAGCCGAGAGCTTCATTTGAATAAGGCCAGTAAGGTGTATGGAAACTCCAACACTATGATAATGTCTTTTGAACGTCTGTCAGGACACTGTACAAACAAAAATAAAGTCACTCAGCTCATCTAGCTCATTTGGCAGTGGCCAGCAAATTGATCAGAGAATCTCATCCAGCTGTGTCCTGAAAGAAGTCAGGGTATTGACTTCAACAGCGTGACTTGATAGCTTACTCCATGCTTTAGATCTGTTTGTTTCTGCGCTGTGAGATGTCAAGAGTGTAAGTAACATTTAATATGTTTGTAGGATTATATTTGTTTAGACAATTGGACAAAGAC